TCCAAATCAATGCCATGCAAAAGTTAAATCACAATGGACACCATCAAAATCCAGAAAAGTATTTGCAACTACTTTGAACCTGTACTCTAACAAACTGAAGAATCTGAAAGAAATGGATTGGTTCCTAGATGCAAATAAATTATTAACACCAACCAAGAATATAAAAAAACTAAATAATCCAATGACAGGCAATTAAATTAAAGCAGTAATTAAAAATCTACCAACTAAAGAAAGCCAAGGTCCTAAAGGATTCATTATCACTATCACTATCAAATTTATAAGAACTTCTGGGAAAATCTAAAGCCAATGCTTCTCAGACTCTTTAATGAAATCAAATGAGAAGGAGTACTCCCAAAGTCATTCCTGAAAGCTAGCATTACCCTGATTCCAAAACCAGACAAAGATCCAATCAAAAAAGAGCTATGGCCCAATCTCTTTAATAAACATAGTTGCAAAAATCCTTAACAAGATACTGGCAAACAATGCAACAAATCATCAAAAAGATCATGCATCATGACCAAGTAGGCTTCATCCCAGGGATACAAGGATGGTTCAATCTATGCAAATCACTAAATGTAATATATCACATAAACAGAAGCAAGGACAAAAATCACATGATCATCTAAATAGATGCAGAAAAAGCCTTTGAAAAATTCAATATCCATTCATCATAAAAACCCTGACAAAAATAGGTATAGAAGGAGCTTATCTCAATCTGATAAACCTATTTATGACAAACCTTGCTGGGAGCACTGCACTGTAGATCACTATGACCAGGCCTAACTGATTTCCTCCTGAGGATGAGGCAGGGCCCCTCGGGAGAACAGGCCACAAGAGGGCGTGGTGGAGCAAGGCCTGGCTGAGAGGAGCACTATTTTTCTTTCTGCCCATTCACCAGAGAAACATCAAGCATCATCTCCTGCAAACCCTAGCCGCTCTCCCAGTTCCAATCATCCAGCCCCTTTTACCTTCCCCTGCACTTCCCTTACTTCTACCACTATAAATAAATGCGTGGCCATTTGCTTGGTGGGTTTTTCCTTCCATCAGGAGTTAAAGCCCCACCTGGCCCCACCTATACCTTATTATAACTCTGTCTTTCTTAATCTCTCACCATCATTTCTCACTCGGTGAACCCTTTTGCCATGTAGGCCATCAACATATTAAATGGAGAAATGCTGAACATTTTTCTCTAAAATCAGGAACAACACAAAGATGTCCACTATCACCACTCTTGTTTAATATACTCCACAAAACATTAGCCAGAACGATCAGGCAAGAGAAAGAAATAAAAGAAATACCTTTAGGAAAGAAAGAAGTCATATTATCATTATTTAAAGATGACACAATCCTCTACTTACAAGGCCCAAAAAAACTCAACCAAAAGACTCCTAGAATTAATAACCAAGTTTACCAATGTAGGAGAATATAAAATCAACACACAAAACTTAATATCATTCCTGTACACCAATAATGAACTCACTGAGAGAGAAATCAGGAAAATAGTACCATTGACAATAGCAACAAGAAAACTTAAATACTTAGGAATTAACCTAACCAAAAATGTGAAAGACCTCTACAATGAAAGCTATAATACCCTGAAAAATGAGGTCAAAGAGGACAGCAGAAGATGGAAAGATATCTCATTCCTGTATACACAGAACCAATACTGTCAAAATTGCCATACTTCCGAAACTGATATACAGATATGCGATCCCAATAAAAATACCAATAATATTCTTCACGGGACTAGAGAAAATAATCATACAATTCATAGTAAACAGAAGAGAGCCAGAATAGCAAAAGTAATCAAGGGCAACAAGAGCAAAGCAGAAGGCATCACAATGCCAGATATGAAGTTATTCTCCAAAACTGCAATGATAAAAACACCATGGTATTGGCACAAAACCAGACATGGGGATCAATGAAACAGAATGTAAAAATGACTCCAGACACATTCAGCTATCTGATCTTTTACAAAGGGGCCAAAAACATACATTGGAGGAAAGATAGCCTCTTTAACAAATGGTACAGGGAAAATTGGCTGTCCACATGCAAAAGATTGACTCTAGACCCATATATCTCATCACATACTAAATTAAAATCAAAACAGATCAAAGATCCAAATATTAAAACAGAAACAATCTGATGGAAGATAAAATAGGTAAAACAATGATATAGGCACAGGCAAGGACTTTCTAAACAGAGCTCCAATTGCACAAGATATAATGCCAAGAATCAACAGATGGGATTATATCAAACTAAAAAGCTTCTGCACAGCAAAAGGAACAACCAACAGGGCCAGAGATTTAGCTCAGTGGCATAGTGCCTGCCTGGAAACCACAAGGTCCTGAATTCGATCCCAGGTTCCACAAAGAAAGGAAGGAAGAAAGGAAGGAAGGAAGGAAGGAAGAAGAGAAACAACAAACAGAGTGAAGAAACAACCTACAGAATGGGAAAAAATATTTGCCAGTCATTCCTCAGACAGAGGAATAATATCTAGAATATATAAAGAACTCAAAAAAATAGGCTCCCCTAAATAAAAAGACCTAATCTAAAAATGGGCAAGTGAAATGAATAGACACTTCTCATAAGAAGTACAAATGATCGATAAATACATGAAAAATGTTCAACATTTCTAGCCATTAGAGAAATGAAATTTAAAACAAAACTGAGATTCCATCTTACCCCAGAAAGAATGGCTATCATCGAGAAATCAAATAATAACAAATGCTGGCAATGCTGTGGGAGAAAAGGAAGCTTCTACCCTGTTGATGGAAATGTAAACTACTACAATCACTATGGAAATCAGTGTGGAGAGTCATCAAAATACTAAAACTAGAAAGTCCATTTGATATTCCTCTTTTGAAATTTTGAAATTCCACCGATAATTCCTCTTTTAGGTATCTTCGCAAAAGAGTTAAAGATATCATATTACAATGATCCATGCGTAGCCATGTTTATAGCAGCACAACTCATAGTACCTAAATCTTGGAAGTAACCTATAAGACCATCCACAGATGAATGGAGAAAGCAAATGTGATATTTATACACAAAAGAGTACTGCTCTGTCATAAAGCAGGACAAATTGAGTCACTCATAGGAAAATGGATGCACCTTGAGACCATATTGTTAAGTAAAATAAATCAGCACACACGCTTAAATATCACTTGGTTTCTCTTATATGAAAAACTCAAAGTATAAATAAAGGGCAAAAGAAAAGATAGATAATAGGAAAATAGTGGCTAGATCTTTTGCAAACAGGAAGGGAACCAGGAGATGGAGGGAAGAGAAAAGAAAGGTATTCTTAAAAAGAGTTAAGATGTGTACATGTCCCAACTCCCCATGAGGAATGTATTCATTATGTACTGCAAACATGGGTTGATAAAAATAAAACTTAAAAAAGGAAACAATAAGGCCAGGAATTTAGCTCAGTGGATCCAACACCTGCCTTGCAAGTGCAAGGTCCCGAGTTTGATCCCCGGTACCAAAAAAGAAAAAAGAAAAAAAGAAACAATGTAAATTCTCTAGAACTTACACTGTTCACTGGGGTAATATTAGTATTTTATTTTAGTGGTATCTTTCTTAACCTTTTTATGACTCATGATTGCCACTTAAAATGAACAAAAGTACAAAACAGCAATGATGAATATGTGAGATTCTCGCCTGATTGATAACTACTGTTCTGACAAGAACCAAGGTATGACTGTACAGTATTTTGTTTTTCATGAAAAACGTATACATCGAACTTTCCTCAGCTACTAACCTTTCTAACCATCTCTTCAATAAAAACTCTCAGCTCTTCCTTTGTTCAGAAAGACATACTTTTTGATTCTCACCTTTCCCCCTTACTGGGAATTGAACTCAGGACCTTGCACTTGCATGGCAGGTGGAGCGCCACTGAGCTAAATCCCTGGCCCCAGACATGTTTTTTTAATATGATTAATTAAAACATCTTATTCTCTCCCAAACCTGACCACGGCAACACCAAGAGATGGCTAGGGAGTTGTTGAACCATTCCATAACCTACGCTAGTACCCCTAAATTCTCTCCAAACAAATAGAAAATCTTAAATTCACAAACTGTGCATGATATGTAAAAAATATTTTCAAGGCATTCCTTTAGCCCTCTGCCTCAACCAGATCTTCTTCCAAGAAGTTTTTTAACAAAAATTTTGGAGCCACCAATTAATATGATAATTTTTGTTTGTTTAAATATGTTAAGGGCTTTTACTATTTAGTATTTTGCATTTTTCAATTGCTGTTGAAAAATATCACTTGCTTATAACTATAGAAGATTCAGTCCCCATGGAAATTTTACTTTTTGTGTTTATAGTCTTATAACTTGTGTTTAGATTGTAATTTTTTCACTCATCATATCAAAAAGTATAGCGTGCTGGTATGACTGATGTCTTGCCAGAGCATGGCAGGGTTATGCTTTTTGTCACTTAAGGTGTAAAGTCCTAGCATAATAAATCTGTCCATGCACACACATACATAAAATTATACAGTGTTTTCAAATCCTTAGGGTTCTTTTAAAGATGAAAAGCGGAGCTGGGTACAGTGTCACATCGGAAATCCCAGCACTTTGGGAGGCTGAAGCAGGAGGATTGCAAGTTCAAGCCCAACCTCGTCCACTTAGCAAAGCCTCTCTCAAAATAATAAAAAGGGCTGGGGATATAGCTCAGTGTAAGAGTACCCAGGGGTTTGATCCCCAGTACCACCGTAAGAAAGAGAAAAAAAGGGGAAGAGAGGAGGAAGGGAAGAGGGGAGGGAGGGAGGAAGAAAGGGTGTGGTGGTGTGAGCCTGTAATCCCAGCACTGGGCAGGCTGAGGCAGGAGGATTGCTGTGAGTTCAGGTCAGCCTGGGCTACATAGGGAAACTCTATCTCAAGACAGAACAAAACAAACAAAACAAAACAAAGAGGAAGGAAGGAAGGCAAGCAGGCACCCTCTTGTAGTTGGTCATTTATTCTGCATTCAATTTTGAAGACTAGATACTTACACTTCCTGCCCACAAATCTTCTCTTTCTCCTGCAAGTTTAACATAAACAGATATCTCTTCTCCCTTAGTGAAGTTCAGGTATAGGCAGTCAGGTCCTGTGTAATCTCTCACAGCTAAGACTCTGCTAATTAATGCTATGTAAACATACAAGGAAAAACACACACACATTTCAAATTAGAATATTATTTCTTGTGTCCATTTTGCCCTTCTCTGTTCCATCTTATATATTTTAAACGGTAATTTTTTTTGTTGTTGTTGTTTTTTTGGTACTGGGGATCGAACTCAGGACCTTGCACAGCAGGTGCCGGAACCACTGAGCTAAATCCCCGGCCCTAATTTCTTAATATCATTTATGGTCTCAAAAAGCTTTCCACTGCACACAGAATCAAGCCCAGGCTTTTTTGGTTTGATACTGAGATTCAAGGATGTCCGTCACCTACTCCTCAGTTCCCTATTTAAAAGGATCTCCTCACTGCTGAGCATGGTAGTGCACACCTGTAAACCCAGCACTCGGGAGGCTGAGGCAGGAGGATCTCTGCGAGTTCAAAGTCAACTTGAGCTACATAGTGAATGCAGAGCAAAACCCTGTCTTAAAAGAAAAAAAGAAAAGAATCTCCCTCTATTTCTTTACACATAGCCAGGGCTGTGGTGAAACTCATAGAATTATTGACCCTGCAGTGTGTCATTATCATCCTCTAGTCTATAGGAAAGGGAAAACTAATTTGTTAAGCATTTGCATATTTTTAGTTTATTAAATCCTCAAAACAGATCGTTAAAGTAACTGATCTCATCTCAGTCTAACAACTAAGTTTTCACTAAGGTTTAGAGACTGGTTGGTCACACAGCACTGGTGCAGCCGATTTTTTTTTTACCCCAACATCACTTCGTTATTCCAGGCTTCTATTTTGGCTCTTTTCTCAGCCTAGAAACCCTTCTATCTTTCCTCATGTTTAACTTGAACCCCCTGTCCTCCCAGAGGCATCTGCAACATTCCATCCTACTCTAACCACCTCTTCTCTGAACTTTTGTCTTACTGTGTACACTTACTATCCTGTATCATTACATATTGTTCCATTTGATATCTTGTCACCATTAAGTAGAATGAATATCCCTGAAGGGTAAAAAAACCTATCTTACATTCTAGTTTATTGCTCTCAGATATACAGCATCCACCCACTCCTCAGACCCAGCACACAGTAGGCCCTCAGGAACTATGGATGAACCCTAACCACATAGGCTAGAGTTAGCCCTTCGACATACGAAGTGAGAGGCATATCCATTAAGCACCATAATGATGCTAACATGTACGGTTTTTAAAATATTATGATTAAGTCATAAATTACAGTTACAATAGCTTTATAAATTGCTATAACTCAAAATGTTCTCTTTTCATGTTGTCAGTCCCTAAAGGATACTAAAATGTGGTTAAAATGTACAGACATAAAGAAGGGTTATTCTTATAAAACACTTTCTAGTAAACTTCTCTATGTAGTAAATTACATACTCAAAAGTTTCAGAAAAATATTTACACATAAAATGTTATTCATAAATTAT